AGGAACATTTAGAAAAAAAAAAAAAAAAAAAAAAAAAAAAAAAAACTAGCAACCTAAATGTGTTAATTGTAGACCAAGCCTGAAATAATAAATAAAAAGTGGAGAATAAAGCATTTACGATACACGCGTAATATCTTCTGGGAAAAAAAAATGTGGCGGGAAGCAAACTGCTTGATAGTGGTTGTCGAATAATCCTTGAGCTTACGCTATTCCGCAAGGTCAGGCTGAAGAGTCGCGCGATTGCTGATAAAAGGCCCGGCTATAAACTCATACACTTACCTATTCCAGATAAGGGACCAACGAGAAAGGCCACTGCTCTCTGTCGCTGAGCTCTTTTTGCTTTCGAAGATAACTGCAGATAACAATATGCAAAGCTTTCGAAGAATCGATTCAATCACAATATCGATTCAGTGTTTTGCATTTCCGCTCCAGAACAATTCAGTATTATCACTATAGAAAATACAGCCCAAAAAGGAAATTTCTCAGACTGCCAATTAATAAATTTGTTACCTGCCATTCACGTAAAAGGAGAAAAAGTCTAACTCAGCGGTTTCCAAACTTTTTTTACACTTAAAGACTAATTTTTCCAAGGTGTGAACTGCTAGTCGATGTCTAGAATGGGAAAAACCTTTTCATGAGGTGGTGGAATTTAGCAAGATTACTATATTACAAGGTATGCTCTTGTATAACGTCATTGAGTGTTAGTTTGATAAAAAGCAACTTTTTCTCTACTCCCTTTTTGTCTTCCCCTCCTCATTTCTATAAGTAATGTCAGCGTTGAGAACAGCCTAAACCCTGTTTGTCTACTAATCTTTAGAATTTAGGAGAAAGGATAGGCAACATGAAAGCACACAAACGTACGTTTATGTCTATCTCCCCCCCCCATTAGCCGGACACTTATTCATTAAGGATTCGTAGAGAATGATCATCTGTCATTTAAGCTGTCTCTTCACCAAAAACGTTGCCCTTTGTGCATCATAGGAAGCGATCGTTATTACGCCCGCTATAAGGCGGATAGACAACTACAAATATCCAGGCTTTCTCCTGGATTCAAAACATAGCCGAAAGGCATGGCAGCCCGTTCCACTAACCACCATGCCTAACAGGACAGCCGTTCACAAATACTAATTACATGATCATTAAATGCTCAGAGAAATTTTAGAGTAAAATCAAATCATGGAATACCAAATCAAAAACGCAGCCATGGCCCACAGGTTGGAAATCAGAGATCCAATGTTCAAAGATTACTGTTGACCGTAAAATGCTTATTACTTGACCTTATGGACTGAAGAATTGATAGAAGGGGGAGAGAACAATTGATAGGTAAAGATTGATAGGCTAAAACAGATGCTTTAATTTCTCTTTATTTACTGTTAAAGTAGAAAATAATTGGGGGGGGAGAACAATATTTAGGAAGGAATATAGTGCTATCTCTTATCGGGGGGGGGCGCATTAATCGGACATAGTTTTGTCAAAACTTTCTCTGCTTCGCGATCGGGTTCAAACCCAAGCGAACGGGCTTGTTGTATGGTTGGTTTTTCCCATGTGTAGCTCGAATACGAGTGAGATTAGAGCTTAAATTGCGCCGGAGACCTAAATATGAAGGCTCCGGCACTTTTTTATGTAACTGAATAACAATTTTAGTAGAAATTTCAACTCGAAAATTTTCTTTTTTACAATAAAATTCTATTGAAAAATCGCTTATTAAATTTTAGTTTTATCTCTTTACTTTTTAATTATTTAATTATCTTAATCTTTAATTATTTAATTAAATAAAAATGAATTATTTTTTATTTTAATTAAATAATAATTGATAATGTTAATTAAGCAATCATGGATTAATTTGATAATTTTTAATCATTAATTATTTTAATAGTCATTTTATTTATTTACTTTTGTTCCTCTTTGCTGACTGTCTTCCTCAGGGCACCGGCACTCCTAATTTTAGAAATTAAGCTCTGCAGTGAGATTCTCTTAAAAAGTTCTCCCTGAAGGTATCTCTTCTTCTAGGAAGACACCCTCATGTACTTTTCCATATTGAAATAATCTAATCTAATATTCCTTACTCCGGGAATCAAATCTTCGTTTTTAATTTCAATAAAATTACAGTGCACTATACTCAGATAGAACGTATAATCAAGAGCAGAGTATAAAATTATATAAGAGCGTTGCTAATCCTAGTTTTGAAAGCTCTAGAGAGTATGAGTTTATAGCTGCTATCAATGCCTTTTGGATCGTAATCATTTTGCGTACATATTTTTTCACTAGTTCTTTTTCTAGTATATTAATTTCAAATGGCGAGCACCGGCAAGTGGAAATAGAATGTGTCAGCTATTGAAATGATACTAAAAGCGTTGAAACGAATCGATGATGAGAAACCCGTAACTTGATAAATAATGAACTGAATGTTGAAAAAGGTTCGGAGGAGGAGTGACTTTTTTGACATAAAAGAAATGCTGATTTTTTTAAATTAAACAAACAAATATTTATACACACACTTTGCTTAAAATCTGATTTAGAACCCATAAATGTTACTTTGTGCCGCCCAACCGGTATAGTGGTTAGCATCGTTGACTAACGTGCCGAAAGGCCCGGGTTCGAATCCCGAAAAAGGCATGGATGTTTGTAAATGTAATAATGTCGGTGCGGCATGGCGGCACTCTAAATATGCGGCGAGCCGAATGTCCTCTCGTGCGGTTTGGTGGAAGGAGAGAGTGCTGGGAGACCCTCGGACCCGCCCCCACCCCGGGGTGCTCAATTAAAATTCGCTTATTCAAAACTGGGGTGAAACTGAGTTATTCGCTCAATCAAAATTGGGGGCGGAACTGAGCACTGTCACCTGTTAGGTGTTCAAGGCTGTTGCCAACGGCAGGCGTATTATAGCGCTCCTTGCCACGAGGAATTTCGTGGGCTTGGGCTGACTACGTCAGACAAGCGAACATTAACAACAAAAATGTTACTTATGGTCCAGTTTCTCACATGCCAGTTAGGCCCATCAGCGGCCGAGCGGTAAAGTCGCTGAACACTAGTAGTTTGGTCTGAGGTTCGAATCCCGCGAACGGGCTGGCTGCATGAGCGTTTTCGTGGTTTTCCCCAAGCGTTACGTGCATACGAGCCAGTTTCCCTCAGAAAGTCCTCCACGAAGCATCCCTCCCCTTAGACAGATAGCCTTAGTGTGCTTTGCCATAATCTCAATAAACCAAACCAAACCTCACATGCCAGTTAATCTTAAAGCGTGCGCATTATCAATTGGTCAACCAACAGGTTACTTAAATAGCTGAGTATACCAGTCAAATCAAAGAGTTGCCATGTCAGGACTACTTTACCCATTTACTGCTTTACGTATTTACTACTTTTATTTTACCCACTTTAGAGGGAAATAACTTAACTACAGCAAAGGACATCAAATTACCCAAGGAAGACTTCAGACTTTTATATTCGTTACGCATATATATGCTCAGAAGATGACACGGGCAATCACATTAAAATGTTGCTAATAAATTAGTTCATAAGATAATAGAACTTATTTAAAAAATAATCTAATGGATTCATGTATAACAGAAAAAAACATCTTTCCTTGAAAACAAGAAACAGAAGCTAAATCTATCTAGTTATCATTATATACGCGATACGTGGTATAATGAAAACTACAGCAAAATGTCTCAGACGCTGACCTATGATCTGAAATATTTCCTTTTAAGCAAATTTGCGCTTTTTTAACCGTTATCGTTGACTGCAGCCGGAATACTAAATGCAAAGTCACGTGACAGAATCTCATAATGAGTGATCAGTATTTCTGTCGCCGTATTTTAAATAATGAAGACGCGAAAAGTTTACATGTATCTGTTCATATGTAAATGATATAAGAATTTACATCATGCATTAAAAAATTTCGAATAAACTCAAACAGATTTCGAATAAACTCAAACAGTCGTAAAATGAAATCAAAGAATTCATATAAATTCAAGAACTCGAATTTTATTAGTCTAATTTCCTTTCACATATTTCAAGAATTAAGTAGCAGCATACCATTTTAACTTCAAGTATACAGACGTCTAAAGGAACAACAAAATCATTGATTAAAGGAAGTTAAAAAATCGCAACTCAACCGTTATAATCGGAAAATAATCAGCTTGCCAACATTCGGATATCACTGAGCAAAATCACAGCCTATCCGGATATTCTAAAATTCGGATAACTACATTAAAAATTATCTTTCGTGGAGACCAAATACGTATTTAATATAATACAAGTAAGAGGATTACATTTTTCATTTTATTGTATTTTATATCGATAAACATTATATAGTTAATAGCAAAAACTATTTTTGCACTTGTAATAAACGCTAAACGATCATTCTCCAACACGAACAAAGAAATTATTTTTCATTTCCTTAAGTACATTCATTACTGGTCAATTAGAATAAAATAAAGAAATGGATTTTTATTTTAAGCCCTAAAATTAAAACAAAATTTTATTGCTTTTTTTAGTATATTGAAAGTAAACAAGGAGTTTTATTTGAAGAGGGGAGGGTTAGAATAAAAAATATAAATTACTTCTATTCAACTGAAACTAAATCAAGACTGCATTTTCATTGAAGTAAAATAATAAAATTAACAATATAACACAAGTTAATAGCTTTAATTAATTAATAAAAATTACGCAGTTAAGAAGTTACTTAAATAAATTTCATAGCAGGTATAATTTTACTTTGTCTTAGAAAAAAAGCAAGTGACCGCAGATAATAGGGGTTTTACTGTATTTTTATAATTCAGATAGCACTGGTCTGTAGTTCACAAATCAGTTCTCTGCATTATATCAGTAATTACTTTTATATCGGAACTGTGGTAATAAACTAAAGAGGAAAAATCTTCTGGTTTTAAAAAACTGTCGTTTTTGTAATATTGTTTCTAACAGGAGGAAAACCTCTTGGTGAGTATTTTCCAGACGTTTTAGCCTCACAATTCATCTGCATACATTTGCGATTTATTGTGACCTACCTGCAGATATTTGCGATTCACAAGGATATAGTTTCTTTGAAGGAGGAGGAAAAAACAGATTCCTAGAAGAAAATAATATAATAATGAAATAACAGTATATAAAGCTATATTATTATTAACTATTAATCTATAACTGTAAATTAATCTGATTCTGCAGGGAAAAAATGTGAATAAAAAATACGTGAAGAAAATAACATTTAGAAAACTTTTCGCGAATTTCGCAAACCAAAAATTGCTTCCCGACCCACACATTAGAAATGTCTATTCTAGGTTTGAGTAGTTTTATAGCAAAGAATTTGAATTGGGATCCTTCATATTCTTGATATACGTACTTCTTCATATTCTTTGGTTTAAAGTACCCAGTGTTAGAATACTCACTCACCGGACCAGAAAGACCAACATCAACAAAACTAGGCCCCAAACGAAGTCCCAATCTGCCATCTGCATCGCTTTATGCTCAGTGGCGTAACTAGAACTCTAGGGCCCCTATGCAAAAAAAAAAAAAAAAAAAAAAAAAAAAAAAAAAAAAAATTCCCCTCCCCCAATAAATTTGCAATACTACTCCCCTCAAAAAAAAAATCCAGTTTTCCAGAAGCCAACATTTTGATAATGATTTTTATCAGATCAGGTTTAATAAGTTAAAAATCTGATATGGGAACACATGACTTCCTTTTATTGTCTATTAAATTACACACTTTTTTTGGCTGCATTTCATTTAAAGCTATTTCCTCGAATAATTTTAACTTAATTACCCGGTCCTTCAAAGCAAGTTGAAAATGACATCAAAAATGGCCTTTTTAATTAAATATCCTGGTCGTACAAAACCTATATTATGTTATAGGTTTTGTACGACCAGGATACGTACGGGAGTCAAATTTCTTCTAATTTATTTTTTCATAACGAGTACAAAACTTTCCTAAGTATAGGAATCGAGAGACCGAATGAAAAATTAAATTTCGTTATTTGTCGAAAATTATGTTTTTTAAAATTTGACATAGCGTCATTTGGCATTTTTCGCTATACTGGTTGGGCGGCGAAAGTTTTCTTCTAGGGGGGGAATCAAAATAAAAGCATCTCTTTTCTACTTTGTATTCAGTTGAAGTTTTGGTGTATGTAACACTGGTATGTAACACTGGTTTTGGTGTATGTAACACAGCTTTCTTTAATCTGCTTCGAAGAGCCCCCAACTATGTCATATGACGCAGAGGGCCCCTGGAAATTTAAAAGAAGACGGATTCTATATATATGTAATTTCTTTTTCAAAGTTTGAAATTTTGTTATTCATGATTTAAATTCAAGTCCCCGTAAAACTTTTTTTTTTTTTTTTTTCATAATTTACATTCAAGTTACTTTAAAACACAATTTTCGGAATTAAACTTACTACATATGGGTTCCCTCTTTTTTGATACCTCTACTAAATTTATATTAGGAGATAATATAATCAATATTTCTTTAGTAAATAAATTATATATATATTAGTATTTATAAAAGAATCTATCGTCTTTTAATTTTAAACATATAAATGTAGTTCAGCAGGACATTTAAGGGCCATCTAATCCTTCGGGCCCCTATGCGACGGCATTCTTTGCATACCCTTATTTATGCCCCTGCATGCTACTAATGAGCTAAGATGGGGGAGGGGGTAGTGTGAAGTGGAGAAGATGGTATTCTTTCCGTTCATCGGCTGATAGAGGAGAAGCTGGCGTCATGCTGCAGATTAACACGTAAATGACCCGGCACAGATCAGCACTTTGGTAAAATGACTAAGTTCAGCGAATGATCCAAATTAATGTTCTCAGTTTTTGGTCACCTGAAATATTACCAAAATATTCAATACAATTACAACATAGGCTTAGAAAATAACTTGAAATAATGAAAAGACAACGATTTACATCATACAGTTATCTGACAGTTACAAGTTGTGTTCATCGTTAAAGAAAATTTTGCGGTCAACGCTCATCCACGCAGCACGAACGCGTAAGTTAAAGTAACCAAAATTGGCTAATAACATTTTCCAGTTAGGAAGTTGCGGGTTTCCGGGGCAAAACAGCTGCGGGAACAAAAAGTTTAAGAGAAATTATTTTTCCAGGAAGGTGACCTTCAACCACTAGGAAGTCGTTTTTAATATTAGGCTCTATCGTTTTGACGTAAAAATAACTTTTTGCTGGTAGTTTTATATTTAATGTACCGAATGATTGTTAAAGATTTAGGCGGTAACAACAAATGCGGCAAATGGCATTTTCTAATTCGAAGACGCCGGTGTTAATTTTAAAATTAGGCAAAAGAACATCCTTATATTATTACAGATTTTAAATAAAATCTTTACTAAAATCATGGGCTATCTGACATCGGCATCTGTTTTTTAGGAACGAAAAAGGTTTGCAAAAGTGAAAGAAGCAGAGATCGCCTTTAAAATCGATGAAGTTTTATTCAAAATAATGCAATCTAAGGTTGCCCTTTTTTGCCTAATTTTAAATTGGCACATTCTTCGTTGAGAGAAATGTAGAATACGGTATATTCCAGCGATTCTCAACCTCTTGACTAACGCGTACCATTCTAAACAAAAATTGAAAATCTTTAGTACCACCACTCTTGAACAAAGCTCAGATCGCATAAATTTAGGTGTGTTAGCGAAAACACTCTGTCAGGTTGTTGAGGTTTTAATTTTTGAATTTAATAGTTAAAAATGCTTTGTTTCTTTGCGTACTACCTATTTTTCTTTTGCGTACCACCGGTTGAGATATTCCATTCCTGCATTTTGTGTTGTTTATTAGAAGAGCGAATCTGCTTCCTCCCCTCCAGAAAGTAGATTGCTGCTAAAAACCTGAAAACAGGTGAAAATAAACTTTTTTAATACACGTACGTAATCTACAAGGAATTCCTTTTCAAACTTCATGATGAGGAGGTTATTCTTCTTTTGAGATTTGTTGTAAATGCCTTAATTAATCTGCTAACGTACTGGGCATACTCAGAAATTATTTTGAAAATTACACTAGCTTTAGATTAATATGGGAAATAACTGAATAAAGTACAGCAGCTTATTTCCCGTATTTGGATAGCATGCACTTTTTCAGGTTTTCATTGTTGCGAACAGGTTGTGTTTCAGTGTATTTTTCGGGTATTCATTGATGCGAGAAAATATTTACGACGTTTCTGTAATATACCTGTTATGAATATTTTATAATGATGAATATAATTTAAAAATCGTAGCATAAAATAAAAGCCATGTAACTCATTAAAGTGAATTTGCAAATTTATTTATAGTAGGTATTCCGAATGTACTCAGAGTTTGAGAACGAAACGCAGTCTCCTCTGCTCTCCTCCCCCAATTTATCTCTGGTTTAGAAGAGAGTGCAAAAAGCTGAAATTATTTTTAAGTAAACATATCAAAAACCCAAAATTAAGCGGCAAACAGGCGCTGTTAGTAGAACTTGAAATTCTAAATCGGATCGAAAGTTATTTGATTGGAAGTTATAGACATTATTCAATCGGATCAAAATTGCCGAGTGCAGCAGTTATTTGCGTTAATATTCATAGACATTTTCAATAAACTTCGCCAGACTTGATGCTCAATTTGGTTACGAAGGAATGAATATCCTGTGCTAATATCTCTTAATTATGCACTCCAGTGGAAGTAACAGATGAAACATTTAAGAATTTTCCTTGGGGAAAATTTATGTCACATATCAAGTAGCAGAAAGAGGAGGGGAATTCAAAGACGCTGAACCAAATTTTTTTTTTCAATACTATGTGTACGACTGGGGATTAGAAATTCTAATTTATTAAATATATCACACAACAAAAAAGGTGTTGCGACTCGTTAAATGGAGACAGTATTTTATAATTTATGAACCCGGTTTCATTAACAGTAATTAAACATATTACAAGAAACGTAAAATAATGTTCTTAGTAGATAAGAAGATGCAAGTTTAGTATTCATTTAAAAAGAAAACTGTCGAACAGGTATTTTACCGCAAACTAATTCGATTTCTTTATTTGCAAAATTTACTACACAAAAGCAGTTTTGCACAAATCATGCAAGAATACAGCAAGACAAACAAAATTAGCATTAAATTGGACAAAAACAAATGGGATGAGATTGTGATTAGAACACTGATGAGAATGGGATTAGAAGATTATACGCGTGGTCGAATGTAAAAACCGGACATACTTCGATTCCTTGTCACAGTTCAACGAGTGAAACCACACTCGATTCCTGTCCCGTTTAATATGAAAAAGAGTTTTTAATACCTTCTTCTTCTTATCTAAAGCTTTTTGTGTATATGCTTTTTGTATGCAGGTAGCAAAGTACACGAGGGCTATTACTACATGCTTTGCCTTTTGAAATGATAATGTGCTTTCTTTTTCTGCCCTTCCACATCGATCATAAAATGAAATTTAAATTATAAGTTTAAAAAAAAACAACACATTATTGGTTTTACAAGATTTTTTCTTGAAAATTCATTCGAATGATGTTAAATATCGGTGGAGGCCGGAATTACTGCATGTACTTATTCGAAAAGACTGTCATGAGTTCTTAATAAATTAACTGCGTTTGCAGTCTTATCATGTGCTGTAATTGCCAGATCGACGACTATAATAATAAAAGAAAAATACAGTTATATTTAGATGAATAGATAAATTAATTACAGCAAAACATGCGATACTGCTTTTCGAAAGCAGAAGGCGTTCGTGGAGGAATTTCTGAAAGAAACTTGTCTATACACGTTATATGCCGAGAAAACCACAAAAACCTCAAGCAACCAACCGTTCCGTAAAACCGGCATAAACCAATCTCGAATCTTACTGCTAGCGTTTCGCTGTTCTACTCACTCGATGTCGTGGTGTCCCATATACTTCTTACTGTAACTGCTCTAATCACTCGGCAACCTTTGAAACATTGAAGACCTCTGAAGTCAACGTTTGAAGAAATGAAAATAATTTGTACTAATTTGTGAATTAGATCCCACATTATTTTCATTAAAATAAACACGATTAATACTTTCTTCAAGTGAAATGCGTGATGAAATAAAAGTATTTTAAATCAAAATGAAGTGAAGAA